TTGGAGTTCCTGCGGCTCCAGCCTTTCGGTGTCCCACCAGCATACTTCCTGGTAAATAAGTGAAGATACGCACGAGCTTAAAACAATTAGTTGACTCTTCTTTGTATTAAACAGGGGTGAGAATTCCAGAAAAAATGGTCCAACAGTACGAATTTTTTTGGCTGAATAAATTCGAAATCCGCTTAACTGAGCTGAGTTGGGTAGTACCATGAAGACCAATGCAAACACCTTTTCCCTGCAGTTAAGCAGATGGTCCTAAAGAGAACAGAACCTCACTATTGAGCACCAGGGCCAAGCAGGATCCCCATAGTTGTATGTTATCTCCTCGTCTGGGAATATTTCCTACAGCAAATAAGTACAAGTGTGGGGAATTTATTTTAATTGTGTAGCAGTCAGTTTATATTTTTGGCAGCACTGTTGAGCATTTTAAAAATGTATTTTCATGCCCCTTTGCAAGGCTTAGTCTTTCCATCTTTATAGCCACTGGTGTAAAGTAACTAAGTTCATAAACTCAAGTACTATACTTGGGTACAATTTTGAGCTACTTGTATTTTACTGAATTATTTCAATGTTTTGCAACTTTGTTCTTCTACTCCACTACAGTTCAGAGGTACATGGTGTACTTTTCCTCCACTACATGTATTTAATACCTTTAGTTACTTTACAGATGTGGATGAATGATGTGAAATATAATCAAGTGTTGAATCAGACTTTAGTTCCACCTGGAGTAAATCCACAAGCTACCCTGCAGTATACAAAGTCATTCAAACTAGCTGCACCTTTACCAGCTTTGGGAACACTTTCATGATCAATCATTAGAAAACATATCATAGATATTATTCTGAAATGGACCAATCTGCACAATGACTACTTTTACTGTCGCTACTTTCACTATATTTTGATGATAATACTTTTCTACTTTTACTTAAGGAACATTGTGAATGCAGGACTTGTAACAGAGTATTCCTAGACTCTGGTATTTCTACTTTTACAAGTACACGTCACGATCTGAGTACTTCTCCTACCTCTGGTAGTAGTGGGCAAGTTGCAAGTAAATATATCCTTTTGGACAATCCATAATAGTCATAGATAGATATAGACATGTCAGCAGCTCCTTGTTTTCCTTTGTGCATTGCATTATGGGACATTACTTAACTGAAGAATCCAGCTGATTTTATACATTATGATTTTCTTTAAAGCAGAAGACAGTTGCATTTTGGCCTCATTGGGTAGAAATCCCAGGATAATTGTTCACCATATTGAAAAATCAAGTTTCTTTTTGTAAACCTGCGGGCGTGTAAAGGCCTTTGAGATGACATCCTGAGATCTGAGGCTCTAGCTAAAAACCATATTGCGAAAGCGTTGCAGAGACAGAGGGAAAAAGCTGCTAACAGTTTATTCTGCTGCTTCATCAGTAGCGGGTAGCTCCCGGCTAGCATAAGGCTAAACTATTAGCAACATTATCTCTCAATCTCTGAAAGGCTTTGATTATATCATCATACGGTCTTTTTTGGAAAAACCTGTCTTCCTGTCTTATCTCTGCGGTGTGAGTCGCCAATGCTAGAAAGCAACTTCTTCCTCGGATCACTGTTTTATTAGGCTGTATACGTTGTAAGGCACATGTGTCAAACTCAAGGCCCGGGGGCCAAATCAGGCCCTTGGTGGATTTAATTTCGGCCCGCAGGATAATTTCTAATTACTATTAGATCTGGCCCGCCGGTATATTGCACGCACACCTTCTCTCCATCCTGAGGGTCTCCTCAGCTCAGAGCCTGACCCCAAACATTGATGAACTTGCACCCAAGATGAGATGCCAAGTATCTGCTTGAACTAGCATCACAGAGCAGCACACTGAGTTTAATGGATGTTTCCTTCTGCACTTTTTTTTTCTCGACAACAGGGCATGTTTGGTTTGTTCTTTGAGGGAAATAGTTTTTTTGAAGCTGTTGTTGGCCTGTGGAAAAATGTAATCATAAGAAATGACTCTGGAAAAGCTGCAGATAGAGCCATAAGAAATTAATACAACTGATTATTAAATGCTTAATGTTGTTTTTATAGGCAATAATTTAAGCTGTGTTAGTTCCAGGTTTAATATGTGCAATAAGTTCATTTCAATACGTTTTGCAATAAACATTGAACCAGTCCGGCCCTCGACTAGTACCCATTTTAAAATGTTGGCCCTCTGTGTATTTGAGTTTGACATTCCTGTTGTAAAGGAACGGGATATCATATGCTATAGTATGCTAAATGCCTAAACCAGCTTTAATTTGTTCTATTTTCCAGTCTGAACACACTACATACTAATAGAGTATCAGCTCAGCCTGTGTTAACTTCATGCACTTTTGGTTCAAAATGTTCGGTATGTATGTGATGATCTTTCTAACTCACTTGTATTCAATGCATGCAGGTTTTCCAAACAGAAACTCGTGCTGTTATCTTCCTTCCTATCTGACTGCTCACTGTGATCCTAACATGAATAGGAATTATTATTTTTCTCTATCAGTGCAGAAAGCAACACAAAAATGCAAATGGATAAATGTGAACTCAGAAGGTTGGCCAGCACATGAATGTTTATTGTCACACATCTGCCAGATTAAAAATCCTACCAAATACCATTTAAATAATGGAAAATATTAATTATAATGTTTTAAAAAATGCTCATTTGCATTTCATGAGAAACTTCTCAAAGTGTTCAACATGAGAGTGAACATTTTTAATAAACAAAGTTGCCATAAATACAGAAGCTATTTGCAAAAATGTTTACTAAGCTTTATTTTCTATGATATTGGCTCTTAAACAACATCATGAGACTTTCCTGTGCTAATGTACGGTCACCCACACGATACAGGGAAGATCATGGGCTTAGTCAGCTTAACTTTAATTATGTTTCCCTACACTTTACCTTACACGAGACTGAAAACTCATCTCCATTGTCAAACATTTCTTTGCCTACCATCGACCCGACAACCAATAATAATTAAAAACGATTAGATTCAACTATTAGATGTATACCTAAATGTACAACTCTGAGAGACTGGATTAGACAAAGTCATCAGACTCACTACACAGACGCTCAGCTGTTAATATGAGAACCAGGATTAAAACGTTTCTCTCCTGCTTCACTTCAAAGTCAAAGGGTCAGTGTACCCAAATGATAAAAACTCTATAGCTTACCCGTGGCGCTTTCTCAGCACACAGATAGTTTGGGTTTTATCTGGTGAGGTTTGTCTCTGAGAGTCTTTTTAGGTACAGTGGAGGTGAGGGGAATTTAGTCTCTGTTGCTCCCACGATGACATAGTAAAATAATCAACACCATGTATCAATGTGTTTTTACAAATAAGTGTCCCAAGTCATGGTGACATGGTTTTTTCTTTTGAGGAAGTAGTCTCTTAATACTAAAATGCTTTTGCTTTAAATGTCATTTGTTTGCAATGCTCTGAGCACCATACTTCTCCCTGACTTTGTATTAGCTTGAAGGCCAACATACTTAAAACGTTGACAAGTAAAACCAAAACTATCCGCATGCAGAGATGCTATGGTAAAAGCATGTGAGAGAAAAAGTGTTTAACTTGTAATCTGGATGAACTAACATTTAATGCGCTCATGGCTCCTAACAAATGACAGATAATGAGAGCGGCAGGAACATTTCTTCAGCTTTAAACTGACAAGGGATTACTATATTTTGACAAAAACACAGCCAGTACTTCCATTAAATTGAGATGTTAACTTCTCTCACGGGCGATTGTCTAAATAATAGTTCCACTTTTTCTGGTTCCTTGTTTTGTCGCCGCTCGTTCTCGGCCCTCGGCAGCCAGCGCTTCTCAGCAAACAGCCTCAGGGCCGTACTGGTAAAGCTACCAACTGCCACAATATCACACACACGCACACACCCACACCCCCCCACACCCCCACGCACACACGCACACACACGCACACACACCTCCCTACAACAGGTCAAAATGCAACCTCTAGTAACTAAGTGCATTTACTCAAGTACTGAGAATGTTGAGATACTTGTACTTTACCTGAGTATTTCCATTTGATGCTACTTTGTACTTTTCCTCCACTACATTTATTTAATCCCTTTAGTTACTTTACAGATCTGGATGAATGATGTGAAATCTAATCAAGTGTTAAATCAGACTTTAGTTCCACCTGGAGTAAATCCACAAGCTACCCTGCAGTATACAAAGTAATCTGAGACTGCCAAGGCACACNTGGATGAATGATGTGAAATCTAATCAAGTGTTAAATCAGACTTTAGTTCCACCTGGAGTAAATCCACAAGCTACCCTGCAGTATACAAAGTCATTCAAACTAGCAGCACCTTTACCAGCTTTGATAACACTTTCATGATCAATCATTATAAAACATATTATATATATTATTCTGAAATGGACCAATCTGCATAATGACTACTTTTACTTTTGGTACTCTAAGTATATTTTGATGAGAATACTTTTGTACTTTCACTTGAGTAACATTTTGAATACAGGACTTTTACTGAAACAGAGTATTCCTACACTCTGGTACTTCTACTGTTACTGACCTCTGCTCTATTCAGACCACCTCAGGCATCATATGGACCAGTATGAAGAACATCATTGTATTTAATATAGTAGCACATCTTTCTAAAACCTAATATAAAACAACAGCACCAAAGACCATTGCACAGTGATACAACATGTGAATGAAAAAGTAAAATGTTGCCAATAAAAGGTAGAATTCAAAATATTTTTAAAGCAAACTAGAGACTTCTTAATAACGATAACAATTGAGCGACAGAACATGAATGACCAACTATTTTTACGAGTCGTTTCAGTCATTTTTAATCGTGAAACAATTCTCAAATGACAGCATTTAAATGTTTTGGGGTATTTCAACTTTTAGTCCAACCTTTTTGTTTTAAATTACATTTTGTGACATTTCCTACTCTAAATAACCATCTATGAGTGAAATGAGTTTTAGTGACAGTAGTTGGTAATTCTCTACAAATATCTTCACAAATAATCCAGACAATTACACATTAAAGAAAGACAAACACAAGTAAGCTTTCTGAAATATACGTTTTACGTTGAATGTGTCAAACTCCCTTACAACAAACCAAATAAAAACGTCAGAGACAAAAAGCAAACAAAGTATTTCGGTGGAAGTGAATTGAATAAACCGCTCTCTGACTCTGAGTCATTTCTGGTGAACTGCGTGTGTTTGTTATCAGATGATTTAGTGCAATATAAAGGTGAAACATCCTTACCTGCCTGTTGGGCTGGAGCCTCCGACTGCTCCACCGTGTCTGCGCTCATCTTAATATCTAGAAGGATAAGTCCGGCTGATTTTACTACAGGATTGCACCTTCACCAGGACACTGAATCAAGCACTCACACTCACATTACCCTGACTTTATTCTAATGCCTCCCCTCCCATCCACCCCGCCACAAACGTACTGTACACTTTTAATATTCATAATTGAAGCAAATATTCCCATCTTAGCCACACAGCAAACAAACAGTTTATGAACTCATGAAACAATGAAGATGTAAGGAAAGTAATTGATGAGTAAAAAGAAAATACCTCACCTCACACAGATTAAAACAGTCGCCCCAGCTGCCGTCTGTTCTCTCTGATTATTTAAAGCAAAACAAATGTTGGTTTAAAAGTTTTTGGGAATCCACAGCTGCTCATCAGCATTTTCCTAAGTGGAGAAACGCTCACCTCTGCAGCACAACCCCCTGCTGCCTGATAGGCTCCTTTGCATATTTGCCTCAGTGCGTCCTATCCAGCTTCAGACTGTTTGCATAAAACAACAATGGGGTTACTGCAAATGACAGTGTGTGTGCGTGCGTGTGTGCGTGTGTGTGTGTGTGTGTGTGTGTGTGCGTGTGTGTGTGCGTGTGTGTGTGTCCTCATCAGAGTGCTTTGGATAACAAGAGTATTATTACTTCCAGAGATATTTGAGTCATTGTTAGTGAAGGGAAAATGTAGGTAAAAATAATTAAATCTTAATCTTAAATTAAATAAATGTGTACTTTTATTTACTTCGTCAACATTTTGGCTACCTGTGCTTTGAATAAATAGGCCTACTCTCTACCTTGAATTTGTTATCTTACCCTAAAAAGCTACATTTTAAAGGCTGTCTAATTCTGATGTTTCACATTCTTACACTTAACACAGACATATCAAATACAGAGACCACAACTAAGTAAAGAAAAGACGAAAAGCAGTCACTACATTGTGCACATTTGGGACAGTAAGAAAGGTACACTACTTATTACTGCAAGAGCAGCTGGTGGTAAGGACCTCAGACAACTTCAATTTAAAACAGGCTACAGGGACAAGTGCCCTCAGGTTAAGGGGTGATTGAAGGTCATTCCAAGACCAAGGTCCATAATGAAAAAGACTTCTTTCTCCCGCCTCTGTCCGCACGGCAGGAACCTGGAACCGTATCCAGGAACTGGATCTGAGGTTGTAAGAGTCACAAACTGGAGCAAATCTGGCACATATGTACAGTGGAAGCTTACCTAAAATGGCTTTATACACTAATAAAAACCAATGCTGCATCCTACGCATAGTAAGTGAGGACCATCCAGTTAGGCTATACAGTGTGCAATGATGAGTCCTATAGGGTGCATTTGATATATATCGCAGTGCAGCATGGTAGAGTGGGTCAAGTTTGGCCAAAACAGTGGGACAGGCAAATCTAAAGATTGTATCACCGTAGTCCAGCTGGGACAGGAATAAGCCAGAGACCAACCTTTTACGGGAAGAAGTTGAAAAACAACGTTTAAGACTGTTAAGGAAGCCAAGAGTGAATTTCTATATCTTAGTTAGAACTTCAATGTGGTGGAAAAGAAGGCAAGATATAATTATTTTATTATAATTAATTCAGATTTAACCAGCTTTGTTGTTTCTNAAGTTGCAAACATACACAGCAGCATTCCTTAGCACCTCATTTTTCACGATAAGCTCTAAATCAACTTTGGATGTTACCCTCCTGTAACTTTGACGACTGTTCACAGGCAAACATGCAGATACCCAATACAGTATACACAAACTGAATGTCCAATTTGGATGTATATAGTGGTAATGAACGGTAATGGTAAGTTCGAGTCTTTACGTAAGACACGAAGATAGCGCAAAAACAAAGGAGACAATGCACAACGCCATATAGAACCCAATGTTCAGCCATTCGAAAGTTTTAAATTGCCTCATTGTGTTTTAGGATGACCTTAACCTTCGCGTGTCGGTTCTTACATGCGGAACCATTCTTTAAATTCCAGTGGTATGTATCTCAACTGGCCAGATATAAATGAAGATTTTCCTTACTACTGGAAAGCAATCACGCAAAAAAGCGCTCTTCTAGTTTAATGCTAATTTCCAGTCTGAGAATGTGAATGCACATGAAGTACGCAATATTTTCACCCCAAACCTCTCTTTCCAGGGGCTCAAAACAACCAAGTTGGACTCAGCTACCTCGCGAGCGACATGGGAAATGGCTTTCCACCAGTAAATGCCCTGCCAATCGGGGGTTGGGGATTCCAAATCAAGTCCAGAGGAGCCTATATATAATATACATATGTTCTTTTTTTCTGGACCTTTTAAACGTTGATAAAGTGTTGCGCACAACTAACAACACACCAACACCCTGGATCATTTCCAATTTTCTTCAGTTGACCGCCCAGCGAACTTAAAACCGCCCACCAGCCCTGTCCTCTTTACAGCCCCAAGTTCTGCGGGGCTGTGAGGTCTGACAGCAGACACGAGCATTGCCAGGGCACAGCTCCATTCTAATGGTGAGCTGGAATCAGGATAACCTGAGCCTGTAGGCACCTCGCCAGACATCAACGAATTTCTCATCAGGACGTCGTAACAACCGATACCGTCACCCCTCAGTCAACAGTGTATTTCGTGGGTCTTCACTACAGTCTACCGCCTTTTGCACTGATGAATAGGAAATTAGTTAATTATCGCACTCCATCTGCATTGGGGTCCGATGCCACATGGATTAGCTCTTGGCGGAATCAAAAAACCACAGCTATGGAAAAAATCTGGGTCGGTAGGAAAATAATCAGCATACGCAAAATGTTGGATTTAGCAAAGATTGCTCCGCACCGCTGCAGCGGACCAACCATATCAAAGAACGCTTTCAACATTCCCCCAACAATTGCTTGTTATAATTCCTATTCGAGCGGATAGTTTTACTCAAAATTCGTTAAATATATAATGTTCAGTCGCCAACGCACGTGTTTTCGTTAACATGTTCATTAGAAGAAGCAATATAGTCTGGTTGAGGTTTTGGCGTCTAGGCTCGGGCCCTCACTCCATCACTGCCACATATACATAGGCCGATGGGTGATGATTAATAACTAACGCCCCGAGCCTACAGGTGGAAGCTTCGGGTGGAAGCTGGGGTGGTGGTGGGGCGGCAGCAGCAGCGACGTGGAAATAGCTGCAGCAATAGTAGCAGCCCAGCAATGATGGAGATATCTGGCAGGTTTTAGAAAGGCGGGCATAATTAAGATAGACTCGTATGGCTGGTTGTAGAGTGGCAAGGGCGTTATGTAATGAATGCAGCATAAGTGCTCCGAGTTGACTGCCGACTAGCTCCCAGGCTCGCCCCATTTATGACTTGGATGTTGGATGAACTTACAATGATTTGACCAACCATTTATTACAGGAATTGGGAAGTTGAACGAAACACGTTTGGCAGCTGTTATATTGTAGCTATAATAATGATAAGCTCTCCATAAAACTAGCTTTTTTTAAAAAACAGATTTAAAAAAACAGAAAAATGCACTAAGCTTTTTTTGCAGGGGTGAGGCAGGTGTTTCTAACAGGTGTTGCCAGTTCCGGAGCAGGCTACACACAGATCAGACACTGTTGACTGAACAGTAAGAGTGGTTCAGAACCAGCTAGAGCAGCTGAAATGCTTTTACATAAAACTAAAATTATATTAAAGATGCACACCCAGACTGCTGAAACTCAAAATGGCAACTATAAATACAATAAATACATTATAAAATCCTTTTATGTCTTAAAAATTACCAATACATATTGATATATCAGGTGTAATAATTATGCCCAGCCTTCACTGTAAAAATAGAGGTCAGAAGAGAACTGTAGTGTCTGGCTGCTGAAGTTACGATGGAAGCATTTGAAGGGTAAAGAGGTGAAGATTGGTGTAACAGAACTAGAAAGTCTGAGCTGGATATCCAGCGCGATGGTGAGTGCCTTCCTAACATGACTTCTAAAATTAACCATAACATTGTAAGGCAGTATTAAGGTCACCTATTATGCAAAATCCACCTTTCGTGTCTTTTATCATAAATATGTGTCCCTCTGTGTACCACGAGATTCTGAAAGTTGCAGCGAGAAAACTGACCTGAATCATCCTCCCCCGAGAGCACATGCTGTTTGATGTTTTTAACCAAATCACTCTCTCAGAGGGCGTGGGGAGTGGCCTCCTATTTCCATCTAAAAGCAGGATGGGCAAATGGCGGGGCCCCACCGTCCCTCTTCTTTTGCGGCCTCAGAATAATTTATAAACAACCGTAATTATTTAAAAAAAAAATAAATAAAAAAACATTGTTTATTTATTTTTACTTGAGTACTGATACCGTCCACTAGACTCCTATACGTCGCGAGCTGCGTACATGATTTCAAATACCGGCGAAATAATCTGGTGACGCATTTGTGTGTATTGTATTTGGTTTCGGGGAAACCCTCACAAGAAACACAATGGCTGTTGTTATGCCTGCTGTGACGTTAAGTTGCCGCTTTGTAATTATGGCCTTTACAAGCTTAAAGTTGTACATTTATCATCTGAATTTGGCGAAACAAGTTTAATATTCTTAAAACCAAGACTTTGTTAATTTGAAATCAGATGAAAACAAACTGTCACAGGACCCTTGCCGTGTTATCTATGATTAACTACACTTTTCATTCAATAATTTCAGCGGGAGGAGGGGGAGTGGTGCGAGGAACAGCAGAGTGCGGGCCTGACAGATGTCCCCTGTGTTGACACAGCTGGCTACAAGTGTCGTTTAGGTTTCAAGTTAGACAACTAATACTGCTGGGTTAGTGTTCATGACTTCATGTTTATGTCATCTAATGTTTAATTCTCAATAAACAGACACTTTTCGTGCTTTCCCATAGTTTAAAATAGTTTATTCACACTGTTTAATAACTATTCAATACAACATACCACTTGTAAAAATGAAATAACATTTCTGTGAACCGATATTTGTTTAGTGAGCTTATTAGAGGATGTTCCCATTTTTTGGGGATGTTCCCTTTGATTGTAAAATGTCAATGAAGATGTCAGACTTAGTATATTTGTTAATAATTACATACAACACATGGAATTTTTGTGTGTGTGTGTTCCAAGTGAATTTGTGGCCCCCACCACCATCAAAGTTGCCCATCCCTGATCTAAATTAACAGACAGAGAATCTGCACTTTTGAAACAGGGCTGAAAGAGAGGGGTTTATGGGATGCTACAATGAATATACCGTTTGGTATTTTGAGCCAAACACAGAGACATGTTTTGAATATATCTGAGATCTATAATATATTGATGAAAAACAGTATAATAGGGGACCTTTTAAGGGTCTGGGTTAGCCCAAATCAGGGCAAAATCATAAGGCATAATTGAGTAATGTGAAGTA